GGATCGATCTCGCGATCCTGAGCCCTGGACAGCACGAGCCCGGCGTTCAGGGTTGAGGGTTTAGAGTTTAGGGTTTAGGGTTTGGGGTTTAAAGGGTTTAGGGTTTATTTCAGGGGTGGTGTGGGGTTTGGGCCTCGAAAGCCCCAAAGTCAAGCAGAGATCGTATGCAGCTCCCTTCGAACCTGCCTTCTTTCGATGCTTTCCAAGCCCGAGACACTGGACTTATTCCATGAGCTTAACATACCATTCTTGAAACATAGCAAGGCTGCTTGTCCAAGCAAACCGGCTCCGCGCAAGGTCTAAAAGGAAACCCCGGCAAAACGCGAGTGCAAATGTCCAAAGATGCCCACAAACTGTCACCTGACCAGGGAGTTCCCCCTCCCACCCCCCCCCCCCCCCCCCCCCCCCCCCCCCCCCCCCCCCCCCAAAAAAAAAAAGAAGAAAAAAGGAGAAAAAAACAAAAGGGACTTCGGATGCATGTTTGAGTTTTGGGAGCGGGGCCTTTGCTTACTCTGCCTCTTTTCATGGGCCTTGCTGTCCTGGTTTTGCAGCCAGTCGGGTGCCGTTTTGGGTTTGCCTTTGGAGTCTTAAGTTTTGGTGCAGTAGTCAGCAAAAGTCTGATGTTTCGATTCTTATTGCAGGGCCCGACCGAAGCCAAAACTAATCAAGACACTAAGGGGACTGGATGTTCTCGATTTTGTAGGCCCGAGACTAATTAAGAACACGGGGCCCCTCATTTTCTTGTATTTCTTTGGGCCTGAAAACGGTTCGGGCAACCACGCACAAACCCTCCCAGACAAATCTCCCCGAAATCAGCATGGACCCTGACACCGCCAAACTCGCAACCTTAGCTCCAGGGTTTAGGGTTTAGGGTTTAGGCCTTGCGGTTTAGGGGCTTAGAGTTTTCGGGGGTTAGGCCCCTAACAGTCAAAGAAATCGGCCCCGCGACTCAGATGTCTCATTCTTGTACAGCGCCTACCTTCCGCACTTTTTGGGGTGTCAGGTCTCAGTAGTACTGTCACCGTGCCCTTCGGGTCATTTTTTGCAGCCCTCTGGTCCCTCTGGTTACCAGCAGACAGGTGAACCTAAGTCCAAGAAACCTTTGGGTCAAAGCTCGGGTCAGAAGTTTTTGGGGCGATACAAGCAGTACCTGTACAGTTTCTCTGAGCCCCCCCGAACCCCTGTGGGTGTGCCTTGGGACTGCCAGGAACAACATGAGGAGATCCGCCATGAGGAGCCTCTGTTGGGTGCTGCTGATGCCCAGAACTCTGCGAGCTTGCCATGGGAGGGTTCAGGGTTCAGGGTTTAGGGTTTAGGGTTACCCTAAACCATAAAACCCTCAACCGCGCGAGACGCCCTCCAGCGATCTTGGGGGGGCTCAGCCAAAAAACTACGTATGATGAACCACATATTATTCTTCGCATATGATATAATATGTCACAGGTCTTATACTCTTTATACTGTGTATTCTGAAGGGGGGTATAGACTCCGTGTAGAAGAACCCCAAAGTAATGGCCCACATAGGGCCCTTTGCTGGTCATACTTCTAAGTTCTAGAGGAGTTGTGCCTCCGTACCCGGCCTCCGTACCCGGCCTCCGTACCCTCCCTCCGTACCCTAAACCCTAAACCCTAAACCCTAAACCCTAAACCCCTAAACCCTTAAACCCCTAAACCCTAAACCCTAAACCCCTAAACCCTAAACCCAGCGACCCGGACTCCATATGAAGCACAACCTTTTGCAGCTCACCATGGCGGCAAGCTCGCCTAACAAGAGTTTTGGGGAACTGCTCGGCCAAACGCTCATTGTAACTCTTCCGAGTGCTCTTCGAAGTTCAAACGGTAGTTCTTTAATCAGTTCTCCATCTGAGAGCAAGTGAAGCTACTGCCTCAGATATCGTTTCAGCAGGAAAAGGAAGATTTGAGATGCAAAGAACAATTACCGGTCCCTTCTGGCTCTGACTGTTGCGGTTGAGGGCGCTAACGTAGGGATACGAGCAGAAGCCTGAGACTGGTCGTCCCAGGTCTTTAGGTTCGGCCGGGAGAGGCTTTGCGAATTCACTGTCTAAGTTGGCGTTTGTTGCTTTTGCTTCCCGCCTTGTTCGAATGTTAGGTCCTGAAGGTTTGTTCCCTGCGATGTCACATCACTCTTCTGCTGCGCCACGATCGGGCGTTTTCTGGCGGGAAGTCTGACACACAAGCATTGGCGAGCCACAGCCTGCGAGAACTTTGAACGCGGCTGGCTGCATGCACATCGATTCTATTTTCCACATCTAGGTGCCTCTGCGTTTACGCAGCCGTGGAGCAAAGGATGCAAACTGACGCAAATTATTGCACCGCGCTCCGTGCGTTTTTGTTTGCAAAAGCGAGGGCAAAGCTGCAGAGTGCAAAGCAAGCTGTGTTGTTGTCTTTGCACGCCACGAGCTCGCCTGGACCGTGTTACTCCATCTGGCAGACGATCCTCAGATCCATCTCTGACCCTTAGTCCGGGCCGACTTTGGCCAACTGCCCACTGATGTTTTCCCCCTGTAAATAAGGACAGCTCCAGGCGCTTGGAAGCCTGCGGAGCTCTTTTCGGGGCTCTTTGAGCTAGTGGTCGGTCTTTGACCTCAGCCCCCATACACGAAGGAAGGGAGATGGAGGCAACAGAAACCCGACAAAAAACCCCACGCCTGGGAGGAATCACTGGAGGAACTCGCCAGCTCCCTTCTTTCTGTGCTGGGGCACGATGTCACGGACGAAACTGGCGCCTGACTAGTGGAGCTACTTGGGCAGCCGCTATCAGCTCTGCGGAGTTTGGCTGACACCCCAAAACCCCCCCAAAAGCCCACCAAACCCTAAACCCGCCATCGGATGTTGAGGACATCCTTACCAGCCCAAGCTGCACAGAGCCAGTTGCAGATCCTCCCATTTCAACGGCTGGAGGTGTAGCATAAGGGGTCCATCTTCATTCTCATGACTTAGGACGTGGGGCATCTGGGATCTTTGAGTCATTTAAGGATTCGTAAGGGGTAGATCATGAAGTTGCTCAGAGGGCCGCGACTGGCGCTCAAGGCCAAGGTTCAAGAAGGTCTTAGGGCCTAGGGGGTTTGGGGGTTTGGGAGTTTTTGCGAGTTTAGGGCTTAGGGAGTGTAGGGTTTAGGAGAAGGCTTAGGGTTTGGGACACAGATTTCGGGTTTAGGCTTGCCCGGATGTGGGTACGGGGTCTGGGGCGGCTGTTGGGGCCAATGCTGGGGGCAGCCTCGGAGACAGGTAACACGTCGAACCATTTTATCTCATGGGGGGGTGCTACTCAAACGTTCCCTAATGTGGGTTTAGGGTGAGGGTAGGGTTTAGGGTTTAGGGTTTAGGGTTTAGGGTTTAGGGTTTAGGGTTTAGGGTTTAGGGTTTAGGGTTTAGGATTTAGGGTTTAGGGTTTAGGGTTTAGGGTTTAGGGGGGCGAACCTTCAACCCTGAACCCCAAGCCCGAAATCCCAGCGACTTTCAGCTACCAACGACATTCTTGCAAGAACCCCGCGCCTCTGGAACTTCTGGTTCAGGTTTAGGGTTTAGGGTTAGGGTTTAGGGTTTAGGGTTTAGGGTTTAGGGTTTAGGGTTTCGGTGTTAGGGTTTGGATTAGCGCCTTGGGCTTTGCATGTTTCAGGTTTATTTGCTCGTGGCCCTCTGACGAATTCAGGCGCTTTGGCCATCGGCCCGCGCAGTTGCTTCGCGATGCCGTGAGGTTTAGCTTGAGGGTTTAGGGTTCAGGGTTTAGGGTTTAGGGTCTAGGGGTTTAGGGGTTTAGGGTTTAGGGGTTTAGGGTTTAGGGTTTAGGGCTTAGGGTTTAGGGTTTAGGGAGTCTTATCACAGGACTTCTTGAGGCACGGCTTCGATCGAGGAGACGGTCGGTTCTCTACATTGCTGTTCTCAGAGAGAGCCCAGTACCGTCTTAAATCGGGGAACATACCTTAAGTTACATAAGGCCGGTCGAGGGGTATGGGGCTCGCCCCAACAAAGGGGACCATCATTCATCATTTCGGAGTACCCTGGGTCTGGCATCCGGGCAGTTGCCGGGCCTTTCGTCCCAGCACAGCGCGCCCTGCGCTGGCCGAACCCGACGCCAGCTGGAAAAGAGACACGGCAAGGTTGAGCGTCCAGGGTTTAGGGGTTTTGCGTGCAGGTCGTGCGTAGCCCAAAGTTAACTCTACGCAGGATAGCAAGTAAGTGGTATGTAAGAGGCAGTGCTTGATCTGGCTTGGACTGGATGGCTTTTCAAGATGCTGCGGCAAGAACGCTACCGTCTCAAGTCAATGCAAGACATGCGCTCAGACTCGACCTTGCTAAGCCCCAAGGCTTCAACCGCATAAGCCCGTGCAGATTCTGGTACCAAAGGCCGCTAAAGCAAAGTCTCCAAGCCAAAGGCGTGCAGTCCTGCGCTTCTTTCCATGAGATTCGAAAACTTTGGAAAACCCTAAACCCTAAACCCTAAACCCTAAACCCTAAACCCTAAACCCTAAACCCTAAACCCTAAACCCTAAACCCTAAACCCTAAACCCTAAATCCTAAACCCTAAACCCTAAACCCTAAACCCTAAACCCCTAAACCCTAAACCCTAAACCCGAAGCCCTATAAAGCCCTAAAACCCCATACGCCTGCCTGTTCCCTGACCCCCAGACTTGACCACGAAGCAGATGCTGAGATCAGGGCACCGGAGACCCGCCTCTTGAAGGTTTAGGGTTTAGGGTTTAGGGTTTAGGGTTTAGGGTTTAGGGTTTAGGGTTTAGGAGGCTCAGGGTCCTTAACCAACCCAAATAAGAACCCAATGATGACCATGTTAGGGTAGCTAAGGGGGCCTATAGGTGGGTGATGAAGGTACTTACCAACCAAAAAGAACCCAATGATGACCATGTTAGGGTAACTAAGGGCCTTTTAAGTGGGTTCTAATACAGTTGTAGTTGGTTATGAAGTACCAGAGACCCTCCAAGCCCTGAACGCCCATCCCATGCTGCGCTTGCTTCGTGACCATGGCAGTGCAAGCGCAATGGTCAGGTGGACCCACTTTGTGGGGGTGTAGGGTTTAGGGTTTAGGGTTTAGGGTTTAGGGTTTAGGGCTTAGGGCTTAGGGCCTGAGGCTCCCCGCTGTAAGCCCTTGAATTTCGCGCGGACTTGGGTTACAAAACTTACGAGTTGCCCCGAGCGGTGCGCTCTGTAAGCTACTTGCTTAAGAACCCCCCCCAAGAAAGTAACATGTTCTTCCTTGTAAGGGCAATAAAGAGCTCATCATCTTTTGCTTTTTGGGGGGGTTCTTAAGCAGGTAGGTCTGCTTTAGACGTGTTAGATCAGCCCCCTAGTATGTGGATTCGGGGCTGTTCTTTTTTTCGGTGCGGACGGGTGCCTTGAACCCTCTAAGCCCCAAAATCCAAGCATCTAGACCTCGTGATCCTTCACGGTCCAACCCCCCAACATTCGAAAGCCTAAGCCCTAAACCCTAAACCCTAAACTCTGAACCCTAAACCCTAGACCCCAAACCCAAACCCCAAACCCCAAACCCCAAACCCGAAACCCCAAACCCCAAACCCCAAACCCTAAACCCTAAACCCTAAACCCAAACCCTAAGCTCGAATCCGAAGCCCTAAACTTCCCTCGGCCTGCGGAAGGTGACGCGGACGCGCGGGAGGAAGCGGCGGGCTGAGTTTAGGGTTCAGCCGGGCTTAGGGTTTAGGGTTTAGGGTTTAGGGTTTAGGGCTTAGGGTCTATAGGGTCAGGCAAGTAGGGGTTGTTCGGGTTTAGGGGTTAAGGGTTAGGGGTTTTGGGGCTAGGGGCGTAGGGGTTGAGGGGTTGAGGGGTTATGAGGGGTTCAGGGGTTCAGGGGGTTTAGGGGATAGGTTCTTGGGGCCAAGAAGGTTCACGGCGGTGGTAGGCAGGCCGAGCAGCCTTAGTGCGGTGTGCCGCTTCTGTGAAAGGCACAGGATAGACACGGACCCCTCAAACCTTAAACCCTAAACCCTAAACCCTAAACCCCAAACCCCAAACCCCAAACCCTAAACCCTAAACCCTAAACCCTCCCCCGAAGTCTTCGTTGGTGGTGGAGGAGTGGCAGCCGTGGTCGGCCGAGCCGCTCGAAGGAGGTGGCTTCAGGCGGCCAGGGGGCTTTACCTTTTGAGGGTTGTACGGGTGTTTGTTGGGGAGGGCCGCATTTTGAACTCGAGGCTCAGCAGATCTCGTGATTCTCGTCTGTTAGTTTTTTGGGGCCGATTATTACTACTATTATTATTATTATTATTATTATTATTATTATTATTATTATTATTATTATTATTATTATAATATATATATATATATATATATATATATATATTTTTTTTTTTTTTTTTAAAGGGCTTTTTTGTGTGTCTTTTGGGACTTCGGGCCCAGCGCGCAGCCTAAGTCGTGAACACCCTGAGTCGCTCTTTGAGGAGCTTCGGGTGTACGATTCAAGGTTTGTTTAGGGTTTAGGGCGTTTGGGGTTTAGGGTTCAGGGTTTAGGGTTTAGGGCGTTTAGGGTTTAGGGCGTTTAGGCTTTAGGGTTTAGGGTTCGGAGATTGTGTGGCGCCGGCATTCGAGTACTTCAAGGCGGCAAAGGTGGGTTGGGGGGACTCAAGGAGGGAGCTGTTCTGAAGCTGTCAGTGCTTTCCGGGACTGTCAACGCATGGTATCAATTCCCTCCCCCCCCACCCCCCAAACTCCTCCGCTTACTGTACAGCTGCTCGATTCCTACACACAAGTACCACAACTACATGACCTGTACTTTCGACTACGATTGTCAATCTTGCCAGCAGTAGCAGTATATTGATTTTTTTGCACTCCGGCCGTAAAGTGGGAGCCTAAGTGGGCCGCGATATTCCCGCGGAGGCACCCGCGAGAGCCGCCCTGGAGGCTGGAAGTGGGAGAAAGGGGTTTAGGGTTTAGGGTTTAGGGTTTAGGGTTAGGAAATCTGAACGGACAGGGTTTCGGCACCCTTCATAAAGCCCCTAAGTCTCCTGGCAACGACCATGCGCACCCTCGACCATCCCCTGCCCCTGGACTTCCAGGACCCGAACCCCTAAGATGTAGGCACATATTCCCTATACACTGCAAGTATGGCTTTTGGGGACGATGGTTTACCTACTTGGGGGGAGAGGGGATGTGGGTACTTGGGGGAGGGATGACACCCTATCTCTAAATCATGTCCTAAACCCCTTTTGGGGGGACGGTTGCAGGCTCCCGCACGAGGAGGATGCTGTAGCAAATGTTGCGTCAGATCCCCAGCGTGTGGCCCAGAGCTAGCAGGCTTGGGATCAGCCGAAACCCTCAACCCTAAACCTGCAACCAGCCCCAAAACCCTGAAACATAAGCCCAGGCCCCTGCCAGCTGCCCCGGCGCCGGAATTGCCGGCCTGGAGCGGGGTGGCCTGGGAGCAAGTGCCGAGTGTGTCGTCCTGCTTCCACACAGTTTCGTGGCACTCTGCAGGGTTTAGGGTTTAGGGTTTAGGGTTTAGGGTTTGGGGTTTAGGTTTAGGGTTTAGGGTTTCGCTAGATCCAGTTTCAGGGCACTCCAGGCAGGGTGAGTGGGACGGGGGGGAAGAGGCACAATTTCCCCAGGCCCCAAACCCCAGTTCCAAGCCCTCAATCCTCAATCCGTAAACCCCAAGCCCTAAGCCATAAACCCTAACCCTAAACCCTAAACCCTAAACCCTAAACCCTAAACCCTAAACCCTAAACCCTAAACCCTAAACCCTAAACCCTAAACCCTAAACCCTAAACCCCTTCCTGAAGACCCAGCAAGCGGTGGCCACATCTCGCCGCGCCAGCCTGCGGAGCCCGCGTCTCCTGGCCGCAGCCCTTCACGGCCTGTCGTTGGTTTCTAAGGGTTTAGGGGTTAGGGTTTAGGGTTTAGGGGTCAGAGGTTAGGGTTTAGGGTTTAGGGTGGGCCTTTGGGATACTGTATATTTCCTTATTTGGGTCTAGGAGGAAGATATTTAGGAAAAAGAATCAGGAGGGTGCGAAGCGCCATCGTAGACATATATGGTTCGGAACAACTCACGAAGAGTATTCCCTTATGGTCCCTATATAAGTATACTGTAATCACCCCCCCCCCCCCCAAAAAAAAAAAAAAAAAAAAACAACAACAACAAAAAACCTGGTCAAATTATGGAGAGGCTTGTCTTTCAAGGATTTTGCTGGGTGGGGGGGGGGGTGGCTGGTGGTTGTATTTTAGTTCAAACGGGTTTTTCTGGGGTTCTTGGGTTGTTCCCCACCCTCGGCGTGGCACCGTGGGGTTGTTAGACCTTAAGTCGACCATGCTCCTCGCCTCCTCCCGGGTGTCCCGAAGATCGCCCAAGGGAAGCCTGCCCAGTATCCTTGGAGCCCCCAGTGAAGACCCTACACCCTAAACCCTAAACCCTAAGCCCTAAGCCTTAAACCCTAAACCCTAAACCCGAAACCCTAAACCCTAAACCCCTAAACCCGAAACCCTAAACCCTAAACCCTAAACCCCTAAACCCAAAACCCTAAACCCAAAACCCTAAACCCTAAACCCTAAACTCGAAGAGGCCCGCGGCGAAGTATTCCTGCATCCTACTTTTACAGGTCTCAAAAACGAACAGGATGGCTACCCCCATCAGGTACAAGGTAGCTGTAGACCCGGGTGGGAACTTCTTTTTTTTTTGGGAGGCTTTTAAGGGTTAAGGGTTTCGGGGTTCTGGTGTTTTGTTCTTTGGAGGCTTTTAAGGGTTAAGGGTTAAGGGGGTTCTGGAATTTAGGGCTTAAGGGGTTCTGGAGTTTAGGGATTAGAGGATCTTGGAGGCTTTGGGTGTTTGGGGGGTTGGGCTAGGAGGGCTATCATTTTTATGCAAGCTTATTAGCTGAAATATGAAGAGGGGGCAGCAGGAAGCTCTTCATGGTGGCTTCGGAGGGCATGAGAAAGTCCTCCACGACCAGAACACTCGGCGCATGGCGGGCCCTTCCCAGTGCTTCCCGCGCAGCACAACGGCCTCGGTGTGGTCTGGGACCAGCTCCCTGTGGTGGCCACTCACCACGCCATGCTGAGCTTGCTTGAAGATGACATCCTCCTCCGCACTAAGCCCTAAACCCTAAGCCCTAAGCCCTAAGCCCTAAGCCCTAAGCCCTAAGCCCTAAGCCCTAAACCCTAAGCCCTAAGCCCTAAGCCCTAAGCCCTAAGCCCTAAGCCCTAAGCCCTAAGCCCTAAGCCCTAAGCCCTAAACCCTAAACCCTAAAACCCTAAACCCGATGATGAAAGGTGTGGAATGAGACGCACCCGTGGCTTTGGCTTTTGTGGTTCCAGGACATGCCGTAGGCATCGGAACACAAGCAGAAGCAGCACAGACATGCAGGCAACAGGTCGCATGTGTCTCTCTTTGTGCTTTGTGACTCTCTGTGGCGTGTTGTGTGGTCGCCCTTTCTGTGGTAGGGTAGGACCGCCTGACTGGCCGATGGACTTCGGTGCTGCAGTGTGAGGAAAAGGGAGCCTCTGGTGGTGAAGCTGTGTTCGTACAAGGAGTACAAGCCGAGCCAGAGCCAAGCACAAGCCTCCAAGCTGCCATGTCGTTTGCTGGACCTCAAGAGCCCCGCGCTCTTGAGGTTATGAGCCCAAGCGGCCTGGGCGCAACCGCTGGATTGTTGAGTTCCCCTACGCTGGTTGGTGAGACAGCTGGGCCGAACTACGGATCTTTGACAGTTGGTGCTGGTACAGATAGTACTGGTGCAGTTGGTGCTGGTACAGATGGTGCTGGTGCAATTGGGACTGGTGCAGTTGTTGTGGGACCGGTTCAGGGTGGAGACCTGAGTACACCTGCTGTTGCCGATGGGCAGACAAATAGTGGTGTGCTGGGCAGTGGAGACCCTGGTGTTACTGGTGGCCTGGAGATGGAGCAGGTCAACGACAACTGGCCAGTGGTGGAGCAACCTAGGGTTTTGGAGTCCAGCAATGGTGGCTTGGAGACTGCAGTGGCAGCCGAAAGATTTGGTGCAGTGCAGATGGTGCAGACAGCCATGGAAGGCACTGCAAATGCTGGTTCGCCGACAGCTGCGTCGCGTACAACTGGGCTGGAAATGAGGTATGTCCAGACTGGAACGGGCGCCTATGGATGGATGACAAGGCTGACGGACTTTCTGCGAGCGACGACGACTGGTGGTGGTGGTTTAGGGGATAGGATGTTAGGGTCTTTAGGACTAACACCCAATCAGGCCCCGGGAACGCCCCGCAGCCACAGCAGCAGAGCAGCAGCCGTAGCAGCAACACCGCAGTCGGCAGCCAGGCAATCGCCTTGGAATTTCTCCCCGCCGGAAGAGCTCCAGGTGATGACCCAGCACGTGGAAGGTGGGGGTCACTCAGCGTTGTTCGACCAGAGGGCGGTGGAAAGAATGAACAGTTGGCCTTCTCGTGGACCTCTACTTCATGGAGAGCAAACGTCGCAAGGGTCTACGGGATCGTCAGAAATTCGGGTTGAAGTGCAACGTCAGCTGGGACAGTACATGAGGGATCGCAGAGACCAGGTGCAGACCGAGGTGGTGGCTTTGCGACGACAGGTACAAGAGCTGATGAATGCTGGTTTTGGGAGACAGTCTGGGGGCGAGGCCGAGCAGGAAGTTGGTCGAGTTCCAGGAGGTCCTCAGGTGCCAGGGGATGATCCACTTCACGGAGTACCTCATGGAGGAGGTAGCTCACTTCACGGGACATCTCGAGCACAAGGTGGTCTTTCTGGAGCTGGCGTTCCTCAAGTTCCTCAAGGTCCTCAGCTACATGGCGTTTCGGGAGGTCTACAAGGTCCTCAGCTTCTTGGTGGTTTGGGAGGTCCTCCTCAGCTACCTGGTGTTTCGGGAGGTCTACAAGGTCCTCAGCTTCCTGGTGGTTCGGGAGGTCCACAAGGTCCTCAGCTACCTGGTGTTTCGGGAGGTCTACAAGGGCCTCAGCTACATGGTGGTTCGGGAGGTCTACAAGGTCCTCAGCTACCTGGCGTTTCGGGAGGTCCACGTGGTCCACATGGTCCTCAGCTACCTGGCGTTCCTCAAGTTCCACAAGGTTTTCAGCTACCTGGAGGGCACCAGCAGATTGGAAGTGGTGGTGTGTCGGGAGTTGGCCAAGTTCCTGGAGCTCCTCAAGCACCTGGAGGTCCTCAAGCGTATGGAGGTGGACCGCAAAGTGCAGGGGAGTTGCCAAGGAGTGCAACTCGTGGCCCGAATCAGTCGGCTGGTTCTGGGGCTGGAAATGTGGGTGGTTCCTCGTTTGGTGGAGGGATCGGAGATCAGCCGGGACTGGTTGGAATGCTGGCCGCAGGTATCCAGCAGCTCCAGCAGGCACAGCTGAACATGATGAACCAGAAGGTGGGTCAGCCGGAGCAGGTGAAGCCTGGGATTGCAGCTTTGCCGGCATTGGATCCTCCTGGCGCTGAGGATAGCCCGGTCGTCATTCAAGACTGGATGGAGTTGATTGACGGGCCGATGCGAGACCTCAGTGATGGAAGTGGTGCTTGGTGGGAGGCCGTCAAGAGTGAGGTCTCGTTGCACTACGCGAAGTGGGTGGCAAGTACGCCCTACCAGAGGTTGGCTATGCAAGGGCCCTCTGGAATGGATTTGGACGACGGGCGGTACGCTCGTGTCAATGCCCGAGCTGCTGGAATGTTGCTGGCAGCGTTGGCACCGGAAGTCCGGAGGGACTTGGTGGCGAGGCAATGCACTCGCAGTGCGGTGAAGATCGTCTACCGGCTGTATGTTCAGTACTGCCCGGGGGGCGAGTCCGAGAAGCTGCACCTCCTGAAGTCGTTGACGGAGACTACCAAGACGGCAGATGCAGAGCAGGCAGTGCGGGCCTTGCGTCAGTGGGAAAGATGGATGCAGCGAGCTCAAGGTATCGCTGTCACTTGCCCAGATCCGATGATCTTGGCTAGAGGGCTGTCGGTGATCGTGGCGGGCGTGCTGCAGAAGAATGCAGACGCTGCATTCAGGACATCCCTGGTCAAGAACACGTTGATGGTCGACACGTCGCCTACGTTGGCCACCGTCATGCAGTACCAGCAGCATCTCAAGGCGGAGATGGAGACGCTGGCAGGTGTGATGGTAATGGGAAGCAGTCGTGGTGCAGAGCCCAAGGCCAAGCCTATGCAGGTTGAGGATGGGGCTACAGACCGCGACAAGGACAAGGATCGGGACAAGGGCAAGGGCAAGGAAAGAGAGCGAGACAAAGGAAAGGGCAAAGGAAAAGAAGCCTTTGGAAAAGGGAAGGACGGCGAGCAGAAGATCTGTCCGTGGTTCGCCAAAAGTCCTGAAGGATGTCGCCGAGGGAAAACGTGTCGCTTCAAGCACTCCTTCGAAGGGATCTCCAAGCGTGGGCGGTGCCTTGAATGTGGAGGTGAAGGACACATAGCGGCGGATTGTCCAACGAAGGCCTTGGCGTCGAGACCTTCGAGTTCTACTGGTGGAAAGGGCGGTGGTGGAGGCCACAGCCAACAGAGCCGGGCGAAGGAGGAGCCTGCAGCTAGAAGCATGGTGTCGGAACCTGAGCCACAGCCGACATCGCCGATGTCCACTACAACCTCAGCGTCGAGTCCCAACCCTGAGCTCCAGTCTGCAATGACTGATGCAGTGCAAGCTCTGAGGTCTTTGGTGGGAGAAGGAGCTGGAGGTGGACATCCAGGATTGGCATCGATCCAGAGGCAGCTGGATGAGCTTCGGTTGAGAGCCTTGAGGGTTGAAGACGTGGTGGTGCGACCTCGTGGAGGAGATCCTCGGATGTTCAAGGCAGAGCTGGATGTGCCAACGGTGCTCATTGACTCTGGGGCTACGAACATTCTTCGACAACCTCGAGAT